CTTGCCATGACAAAATAAATTCTGATTCGTGATCGTTGACCATCTATGTCTACGTTTCCGCATGAAACTCATCTCACTGAACACTGTCATAATATCACTATTCTCGTTCCTGTTATGGCTAAGTTAAAAGCAGCAACTCGTTTCAGTTCTACTTATGCTACTCATCCAACATTGATGATTTCCGACAAGAGTTTCCAGGTAGTACAAGATGGTTATGAATTTTTTGCGAATCGTCGTTTAGTGACCATATTTTCGGCACCATTCTATTGTGGTCAATTCGACAACGCAGCCGCCATGATGGTCATTGATGCGAATCTCAAATGCAGTTTTCGTATAAGACGTCCGGTTGATCATGCATGGATTAAGAGGACACCCAGAAGTTTGTGTTGCGTTCATTTTTTTGTTTAGAAATTTGCCTGGGGGACCAAACATAAAAAATCAGCTACCAAAAAAAAATCAGTACTAAATCATTGAACAGACAAAATTCATCGAGCAGCAGATGAATTGAGAATCTACCACATTATATGTCTGCGAATGATAAAAAAGGAAGAGAACCGGAAGATATTGAAGGAACATTTCTTTGCCCATCTTGAATGGCGATCTAAACCGGATTACAAATATTACAATGCCTTGATGGTGCCATCATACTCGATAGAATCTCCTCCATATTTTTCAGCTGTTTTCAGCTGTGGAAAAATGAAAAATGCGAATGAACTCATCTTGCTTTTGCGTTTAAATTTGACTGTGTGCAATGAAAGGAATGAATATTGTTGAACACAACAAATGCTTGAAATTCCTCAATTTTGATCGCTTCAACAGTGCAGAAGCTATCGCATTTCAGGAGCTAAAAAGCGTCGTCGAAAAAAGAAAAAACGTCGCAGTGAGAAAAGCCAACGAAGTAAACGCACTTCTTCCTCCTCCGCATCCACATCAACAAAGAAGACCCAGTCCTCAACAAAAGATTCAGCCCCATCATCAATTCAATCTCAACCCACTTCATCAGTATTACCTCCTCCTCCTCCTTCTTCTTCTTCAAAATCTGAACGGAATTCGAAAAAAAGCGTTTCGGAGCGTTCCTCAAAATCCAAAAAGTCTCGACAACAGCAGCAACAACAACCACCGAAATCACAACGATCAACTGAAGATACTGATGAGATGTCATCCAGCGAACAAAGTTCAGCGGACAGCTGGATAATTGCTTGTCAACAGAAGAGTACCAAGTCAAAAAAGTCAAAAAAGGTTTGGGAACTTATAATTACTATCACGCATCATTACTGTGATTATTCTTGACACCATAATTATCATAATTACTATTCTTATGATTACCACTACTGCCGTTATCACTGTTACAGTTGTTATTGCTGTCAGTATCATTGTCATCCATATCATGATTGTTGCGATCTCGGCTAGATCAATTTCTATCATTCTTATCATTCTCAAGACCACTTTCGTTTGATAATTCAGTTATGAGAGAGAGAAATAACGGTCACTTTCTTGCAGGAAAGCGCGATCTGACAAATTCAGAATGATCAAACAGTATAACAACTTGTTATGAAATGCAATAAGTCAATGAACCATTTTAGCTGAACGCTTTTCACTGAGCGTTCATCGATAACCTCCTATCAAAAACCTTCAATCACAATCGATACTCAAATTTCAATCCGAACCATGATAACAAATCTTTCAAAACTTGTATTCAACTTATATTTTTGCACACTCAATCTACCGTTCTACTAGCAATTCTTCACCAATG